CGGCTGCTGCGCCCGCGCATCCGACGGCCGCGGGGGGGATCGAGGTAATTGCCGGGATATCGGTATGTTCGAATTTAAGATACTGTGAAATTATCGCCTTGTTCTCAAGCACGAAACCGTGGAAGCCTGCTGGGGTAAAGCGTGGGGATTCAATATTTCGCTGCAGTAAAAGAGAGGTATCAACACAGCGCGGGCGCCTGCGGTGGGAATCACTCTGCACTCGTGGATTCAGTATGCGAGGGAAGCTTGAATATTTGCGTCCTGTGTAGGAGGCTTGGGTGGAAGGCAAAGGCAGTCCGACTCATATTTGATTTTCAAAAGGGGAACAGAAACTGACGAGTTTTGTTTAAGAAGGGTTTTTAAAATAATTTGTTTGTATCCATTTTGAAATTAAACAACTATTTAAATAATATTTTACTTAGTAATGAACAAATATTTTATCGTATTACGCTTTATAACCATATCTCAGTAGTTATATAAGCATTATTTTCCTGCAGTACCCTCCATTTTTACTTTTTTAATGAATAGACTCACCATTTTAGTAATAATCTTATAATTGCGTAGGGAAGAAACTACTGATGATGCTACGCACGCAATGCCCCATTTGAAGATGAACTGCCCTGCGACTTCATCTATCCCATGCAGCGTCCTTGGTTGACAATTCATCAATCTTTCGGCAAACTTCACAGGTTCGTACCTCGTACCTCAATGTACGGCTCACATCACCCATCACATCAGCCGGTATATTTAAAAAAAAGAGAATTAATCCATATTCTACTATCAGCTCATTCGAAATTCCATGTACTTGTACGGAGAATTCAAGAAGTCTTGGACCAGAACAGCTTGGAAGCAGTATTCTGAAGCGTAACATGAAGCATGTAACGAACGATTTCGCCACCGACTTTCGCATCATTCTCTTGATTCTTTCGGTCGATATTCCAAGTTATCGGCGACATTCACATCTTTGGTTCGCTGACAAAAGGTATGCGATGTTGCCGGTTCCAGTCATACCGAGGTCATCGTCACTGTGATTGGTTCAGTTCACAAGCACATAATTTCTACGAACAGGGAATTCATTGTTTGCCAAAGCATTGGGACAAGTACACGAACAACCATGGTCATTATGCTAAAAATGGTTCGTGCCCTTTCCTGCGCAATGTTCCTTTTGCATTTGATCAACCCTCTCTTTACCAAAAGTCGGTTTTTAGAACTGAATTTTACTACTGTGCATCTTTTGCAGTTTTCTAAGTGGCTACAATGAGAACTGGGAATGTCCTACTGTGCCGCCTTCCCGTCTTTCATAATTGTGCATCAAATTAGATTCCATTAGAGAACGGAATAGTACTTACTTCAGCTCTCTGACTAAGGCATAATGACCATAACAGTAATGCGCTGCCAAGATGAAACGAAATGGCTTCTGAAGTCGGAAGCAATGGTGCCCCAAATATTTCTAGAATAAATATCATAATCGTACAACTCATGTAACGAGGCAGTATCAGACTACGAATAGTACGAGTCCATAATTACTTTTTATGTAATTAGGGATATTTTTAGCGTTCGTTTTAAAGCCCCAAGTAAAAAGGCATCTGCTATTCGCGTACGTGAAAGAAAAACGTAAATAATTTTGTCGCTGAGTTTTATCGCCATTAACTCACACGGCTGAAAAACAAATTCAACAAAAGCCCCGTGATGTACCAATCAGAGATAAAAATTAGAGGGTCTGCGAAAAGAACGGATGAACACTCATCACATATAATCAAATTCTTCATTTCCGCATGACATGTTATTCTTTATAATGGAGTTTCCAATTGTTACAAAACACACTTAACACACGGACGATTGATTGCGAACACCGCTTACAAAGTTCTGATGTGATTTGTAGCTCGTTCTATGATGCGTGAACTGTCGCAATTCAAAGTAGAATACAACGAACGACGTAGTTTTAGGTGTAAACGAATCGGCTGCGTGCTTTCGCAGCAGACTTATTCATATAAATAAAGCATTGTTCTCTGTGTGACTATCTCATGCAAAAACAAATAACCGAATTTAGTAAACAGCCAAATTGAATAAATATTGGGTTTCGGTTTATAAAAAGAATGTATTCACAATATACATATTTGCACAAGTAAATGGGTTAATTTGCGTTACTTCTGCTAGCTCTTCTTCTTACCAGGATATTAATGCAAGGAATATGTTTTTACATTCAAACAATTATTTTGATAGGCCTAAATCTTAAGACGAAAAATAGGTCAATGGTCGTTCAACCAAGCTGAAATATCTAAATTAAAGTCATAAATAAATACAAAACTATAATTTGCGCATTAACTTGCCATAAATTGCTCCAATATTGGGAATAAATTAATATACTTCTCCATGTTCTGTATATTTGTCTGAGGATTGAAATAATAATTGAATTTTCCGAGCGACATTGTAACTAATTGTTTCAATTACAGCAATTATTTGTAGTTACTTAAATCTATAAACTTATTCGCTATTAATCTCTCGCAACAGAATTTGTAAAGAACATAAACAACGAAAATTCTTAAAAATGTAAAACACATCAAATTTCATTTGTAACTGCTCTTTCAAGCAGTCTTTAAAAGTTCTAGACGTAATTATGAAAAATACTTCAATATAACGAATTTTTGAAGTGAATAATGTTGGAAATATTCCCTCCAAAACACCAATTTAGTGCCCGCGGGCACACTGCGGTTTCAGAGAGCTTTTTTTTTTCGATGGATGGACCTCGGAACGCGTGGTTGCGCATAATCTCTCATTAGTTGATACCATGCTTCATTGTGATTGGTTTGCAGACGAACTAATTCGTAATCCAATACATGTGGATTAAACAAAATCAATCCACTCCAAATTCAATAGCACGTACCTACACAATTTAATTTAAAAATTAAGGTTATGAGATGGGACATGTAAATTGGATAGTACCTGAAAAACATCACACGCAATTAGTTTTTTTTTCGTCAGAAAAAACAATTTTTAACTTCAATTGTGAGGATGGAGGTACGCATGGTCCCCCACCACCTTTCTCCCAATTACAATTTAACGCAGTAATTTTAAACGGGAATCCTCCATAAATTGCCCTGACTGGTAATTTCATACGACAATTAACAAACAGCAAAACTGCGTAACTTCTATCGAAATGCAGCAGTGCGAACCACAAAATACAAATAGTTCAAATGTTGGTACGCCCAAGAGAATGCGTAGTTACGTAGGTGAAGTCAAACTTGTTTGTGCACAAATTGTATAGTCGTGAAGAATTTCTTTATAAAAATCTGAATAGCCAGAAACCGAAACACTGGTGTTTATAATTTTTCAAAAGCAAACTACACAGATGCAAATAAAACATATCTACGTCAAAAAAATAATTCAGTTAATACTTTAATATCATATGCTCAAATTGTTACGCTATCGAATTGCGAAACTTGGTGTTTCAGACACATTACTCTTAATTTTTCTTTCACTTAAATATTTGAGAACATGATACTAACTCCGTGACATTTGTACAGTTATGTTCGCTTCAGGATGCCAAAATTCTGGTGGAAAGTGTTCACAACAAAACATTTTCACAGTAACAGATTTACGCCCTATACTCCATGTGATAATGATACTATTTGAATGAAGATTTTTTTGTTGTACAAATGACTATTACGATGCATTTTTCCATCCATCATAAAGTGCCAGAAAAATATAAAAAATCGAATGCACACTAATTGTTCATTTTGATTTCCTACATTCCTGCCATTCGTTTGTTATTACGAATTTCTATTTGAGTTATTTGATTGGCCAAACTTCGGAGGTACCAAATTAGACATATATTTAGAATAAAGTTACCCATTAAATGGAAAACATTGACTCACTTTAAAAAAAAAAGTCATATTGCAAACCCTTTCGTCTCATAAGTATTGGTGGGTAAGAGATGATACGCGTTTCTAGAAATATTTACAATCTCGGTACCCCTGAAAAAGCATGTGTTTACTTTTCATTGAAATCTTCCAGAGACTCCCGTGTCTGATACGTGTACACTACTTCGAAAAGGTCCAAAAAGAATACTAATTCCCAACGAAAAAGTAAGAATTATTGGGTACATCTTCGATATATTGAACTATAATTAATTGTTTTGTTATTTAAGGTCGCATCAATATCTAGGTCATTATCGACCACTATTGCATGTAACGGTATGGTAAGTGTAAAGATGACATGATATGGTGACGATAGAGGGTGAAAGCACAAACACAAATACAACCACGCCCGAGGTGGGACTGAAACCCACGATCCTTCAGTCCGAGATCACTACGGCCTTAACGATCTCGACCATCCGGCCTGGCAATTCGTCATTTAATGAGATTTGTGGAAAACTCAACAATACAAGCAGTTAATATTTCTAACACTACTAGCCTTACATCCTACAGAGTGGTTTCCTTTTTTTATCAAGGTTAACTCAGATAAACATGTTTCTGCACTCAACCATTCATAATTTATATTTTCATCCACTTTGAACACGCAAGGCCTTTCTCATTGTCAGAAAGTTTACTTTTGTAAAATGGATCTTAGAGGAAGACGGTTCTAACTAAATATATATCCCCAAACGTTTACTTTTATGCAAATCAAAGAAACCTACCTTCTCTTATACTTATTTTTTTCAATATTTCCATTTCAAACTCAAGCAATTATTAGAGAACAAGTTAAAAGTCAACAATATATTTTTAACATTAGAAATTGGAAATTTAATTTTAAGAATACTACAAGACTGAAACATAAAGAATTTTGTTCCGTTGGAACCCAAGGAACTTCACTAGGAACGTGTGCCTCCCTGGCTACCTGCCTCCTCGTTCATGCAGTGCATTTATCATAAGACGGATCGGCGAGCGGCCCGCGGGGCGCCTACCTGAATCCAGAAGGGCAGGTAGAAGCCGGAGCAGCAGAGCAGCGCGGCGGCGAGCGAGAGCGCGGCCCACAGCACGCCGGCGCCCGTCAGCGACGTGGCCATGGCTGAGCGCCGGCGCCCCTATCAGGAGCAGCGTGGGCGGCGCGGGCGCGGGCGCGCGGCGACGGCGGGGGCGGGGGCGGCGGCCCGGGTCGCGGCCCCGCGCATCAGGCTTCGCCGCCTCTCCTGCGCAAACACACAAAGCACAACGCGTCAGATAGAGCCGCTGCGGCTGCTGCTGCTGCTCGGGCCTTGATTGCGGGAAGCCCCCGGCCGAGTGAGGCAGACGTCAAGTTGGGATGCGTATGGCTTTTTGGGCTGATGGCTGCGAATGCCACTCTTCACGTTCAAAAGCAGTTTTTCCCTTTTCATTTCATTAACATGAGATATACTGCCCTGAATATACCGGGGGAGGAAAAGATATCAGGATCTGAACCCACCATCAAAAGAAATACACATAAGTAATTATTAAAACACTTTTCATATTTGAGTACACCATCAACAGACATGTAATGTCTCAGGAGTCTCGCAATAATAGTAGCTGCACTCTCGATCTCCGACAATTGTCAGATTTGCCTAGATGATTTGAGGAATGAGTCAAGTGTGGTTAGAGGATCAACCTGTATTCCAGGCTTAAGGGTATGTCAGCGACCCGTTTTGTAAGATACTGCTCTGGCACTCCTACGGACGTTATCAGGGAAACCACCGATCAGAGTATTCGTCCTAATAACCAGATCCGACAGAAGTGACAATCTCGTTGATGGCAGGTCCAGTCAGGCTTTGCGACATTCGTCCTAAACGCTGTAAAGCTAGATAGAAAATTTAAAAGTCGAGTTCTGGCTGACTAACAGTTGTTAGCAAGACGACGTCTGGCTGCCAAACACTTGTTAGCACGGCACGAAATTGGTGCGGGCACACAAGTTTTTGTTTTGTTTTATATATATAATTCACATATCACATGTTGCAGCATTCTTCCGCGAGTTGAACACGATTTCGCAACACATGCTCCTAAAACACAATAAATTCTGCAACATTTGAACAGGTTGATGGGATTTATTTGGTTTAAATAATTAGGTAGCAAACAGAGAATGTATGCACGAAATGTACAATACACATCCACTCAATGAATAAATTGAAGTGAGTCATGCCTACCAAATGTCAATGAGCCACAGTTCTCCCTAGTCACACGATGGAAACTACACATCTATCACTACACAAAAAGTGTAGTGAAAGTGTAGTTTCCATAGTATGTGTTTGAGTGCACGTGACTGAATATATTTTAGTTCTGCACATCACTATTCTGGACCTTCGGCTGTTAGCCCCTTATTCACAGTTAAGGGTGCTTACTGCTAAGGGTTTCCCTTCGCCGTTCATAATACAATTGCACCTTTGCAAGCAACTATTAGATTTATCATTTCACTCCAAGTACCACGTAGCAAGTTACCGATTACCACAATATTACGTGTGAAGTATTTTCCATATTTACATTACTTGTGTGTGGTGAACCCCAGAACCCGAATTTCATCTCAACCGCCCGATGAGTGACGTTGATATTGATAAAAATAACGACGAGAAAAACGAGAGAAACTGGAGGAAGAAGGCACCAAATTCGTCTCAATCCAATTAAAATTTCATGTGGATATCCAAACAGGACCTTGGGACAAATTTCACTGCACGAAACAGCAACAAGTGCGGAATAATGAATAAAGTGAAATAGATATGACATCTTTCTTGCATGTTTGGCTCTTTATGCGCAGGCATGAAGTAAGTATGAAGGCATGAAGTAAGTATTTAAGTACCATCCACGCTGCTTGGGTTTTGTTGTATGATGAGAAGACATTGTTCCCCTAACCTTGCTTTGAGTTTAACGTTTTAATAAAATTTATTGAATCGTTTGGTTTTATTTTATGGTTTGATTATTTAACATTATTCATGATTATAATTATTCCGAGTGTTCATGATTTGCTGTTTTACTTACGAGAAGTATACTTACGTCTAGCAGCGTCCTCGGATAATTTTTGTGGAGTAAAATATTAATTCGTTCACTGATCTACTAGTTTTTCGTGTCTTTTCACGTATTCGGGAAAATATTCAATTAGATATAGTGCAACAGCTGATGACAAACGTATTATAATTATACGACTCTTA